GGTAACAAGCACCAATAGTATTTAAAGAAGTCCTTTGACTGAAATGCATTATATGTGTTTTATTAATATTTATTTTTAGATTATTATTATTCAACCATTTAACTATATTCTTCAAAGCTTGGTTTACATCATTTTCATACTCATCAATACTTTGGCATTCTATTGTTACTGTACTGTCATCAGCAAAAAGTGACATAGGTTGCTTTGTTATTTTGGGTAGATCATTTATATATATAATAAACAACAATGGACCCATAACACTACCCTGGGGAACACCATACAAGACAGTTCTCTGGTCAGAAATATAATTTTCTTCAAGTTTGGTTCTATTATTTATTTTATTTATTTGAGTACATTGTTTCCTGTCAGTAAGGTAAGACTTTAGTAAATTTAAAACATTACCCCTGATTCCATATACATATAATTTTTGAAGTAAAATATTATGGTCTACGTAATCAAAAGCTTGAGTCATATCACAGTAAATGGAGCAAACCGGTGTACTTTTATCCATATTTGTCAAAACAGTGTACAAGAAATCATAAATTGCTAAGTTAATGTCTTTGTTGCGTCTAAATCCTTTCTGATCTGATGTGAATAGATTTTGTTTTTCAAAGTACTCGTATATTTGTAAATATATGTATTTTTCAAAAATTTTTGAAAATGTTGTAGGCAATGCAATTGGTCTATAACATTCCATTGAATATTTATCCCCTTTTTTAAATATTGGTCTTACAATTGTAGTTTTTAAAATTTTAGGAAAAGTACCTGAACTTATACTGAGATTGATAATATAGCTAAGATGTGAGGCTATGTATGTTGAAGCAGCTTTTACAACTTTTGTAGATATTTCGTCAATGCCAACACTGCTAGTGTTTTTTAAGTGTGTTATAATTTTTAATATATCATGGGGTAAACTAGGCGCCATAAATATTGAATTTTTACTTGTTTTTATAGTACTCGTAACCTTATTTCCTGAGTTCAGTATAGGTGTAACTTTGTCGATAATAAAGTTATTAAAAGCATTACATATGGCCTGTGGGTCACAGATAATTTTGCCTTCTTTTTTTACTAAATGCATGGAACTCCTAGCTATACTTTGTTTGTTTTTATTTATTATTTGCCAAGTTTATAATTCTTTCAATTTTTATAATTCTTTCTGTAATCAATAAAGTTTGGTCGTGTTTTAGTCACATACTTACCTATTTCGAGACGTATGATGTTGCAGATTTTCTTAATGAATTCTAAATTATTTACTTCTTTTTACAATTACTACTCAATTCAAATTTATTATATTATTTTATTATTATATCAATTGTCATATATACCGTGGTCTCAGCATGGAGTGGGCCACCCCTTCCTTTCCCGTGGGTGTCGTAGGATCGACTAAGGGAGATCGAGGGATGGGCAGCAGCGTCACTCTTAAAACATCTCTAAAGCCTAACTGCGGTTACCAATCCGTCTGCTAAGCGTGGCAACTATTGGCAAAAAAACCTATGGGGGAGTTTTATCTTCAGCAGTGGACAGTTGAAGGCTGATGTGATGATGATCATGAAGTGACGCTTGACATTCTAAAGATGCTCTATATACATATATGATAAACAAGTATTACGGGAGAATTAAGTAGAGAAGTCAGGGCCTCTAGACAAGTGGCAAGCGAATTCGACGATGGAATCGACATCGCTAGTAAGTCCGTGAGACAGAATGAGATAGCAACGCCGGGTGACTCATTCCAACTCACGGACTCGCTAGCGATGTCGATTCTATCGTCGAATTCGTTTGCCACTTGTCTAGAGGCCCTGTTCAGGATACGATAGGACTGATATACCTCAAGAAGGTAAAGTCATTAAAATAAAAATAAACTTAAGTGAAATAAGAATATTTTAATCAGTTAAACAATAATTAGTTTCCTAACTTAATAACCACAAAATCACATACTTTTATTCGAAATTAAAACTTTAAAAGTAAACGCTAGTGTCGATCAATATCGCTGGATTGATAACCAATTATGATTGATCAATCACTCTCTAAACATTACACGGCCCACTATATAAAGCCTGTCATATAATAAGGCGCGTGTTTGCGCAACCTATCTCCTAAACAAGCACCTACGTGCCTTTTAAAATCTGTAGAAAGTTCGAGAGCGACAGGTGAGGAAAGTGAAAACGCGCTAGGATCTCATTATCTACGTATGTAGGAAGGAAAAGAATTACGAAAAACTGTAGAATAGAATTATTTTGTTTAATTCCACTACCTTTAGTATACGTGTGACTATCAACACTCGAAGACTGATCACTGTTGTTGCTACTAGAAGTTTCACAACTGTTCAAATTGAACCATTTTAGATAAATTTATAATTGTAGTTTTTTATAGAAAAGAAAAGAAAATATGTAATAAATTACGTCAATAGATGGAATTTTTATTTAAAATTAATATAATTAATAAATAATAATATATATAATAAAAATAACCAGCATATTTATAAACAATATCCTTAAATATTAGCCATTAATCTCAGACTGTTATTTCGTTCGCGCACGTTTTGCGACACGTATTTCACCTTTAAGCGAGGCATCTTTAGGCAAATTATTAGATTGCTGCTCGGAGCCTAGTGTTAACCGTTTAGCATACAAACTGCTAAATTTAACAATATATTATTAATATATTTGTTGACACTGATGGACACTCATTTCGATATTGACAAAATCAGTCCGATAGCTACGTATATTTACGAGCGAGTTTTTCTTTTATATATTGGATAACCGACATCTAATATAACTGTTATTGGGTCAATATATATATATATATATATATATATATATATTGTAACTACAATATATAGGTACTTCTACATATTACCCACTCTTACTCTCTACAACGACTACGTTTCCGATACACTTTTCGTTTGTAGGGGATGCTCTAAATGTTTTATTACTTTTTAACTCACGTTTCTTAGTACGGTTTCATCGGAAAAATGATAATTACGATTTCACTATGTAGAAGTAAACATTTTTTTTTTTTGGTTTTATACACGTAATTGATAGATTACGACTCTAAATAATTCATATTTGTTGTACTTCTAAATGAATAATACGAGAATAATCTTTACAAATAAACTTTTCGGTTCGTAATATATTAAATTAAGTAGTACATGTATATTATGTAAACAAAAATACTATAATATTGATGTACTCGTATATATATGTTAATAAACACAGTACAAGCAACAGAAATTGCCCGCGCTTTATGATATGCAGATAAGCCTTTCGTTCCCAGAGCTACTAGCACACACATCTTTATCTGACGCAGATACTATTATGTTTAAACGTTTGCTGCCTATTTTACTTTCATCCAACGAGCAACAGGTGGCCACAAGGCCTGCTCGGTCAACTCACCGGTAACTATTGCCCTAGCTAACCCAAGTTTCGGATATAGCGAACCTTTTCGTTCAAAACAAGTTTACTAAGTTGCTAACAACACCACCGGTTTTAGCAGACAGAGGTGAATCATTTAATTCAATCAATATATACAGAGACCGATACAAAACTCGAATCAATGCCAAAAAGTAACCCAAATGCGCCTATAGTGAAAGCGACAGAACGACTTGTAGAAAGGTGAAAGATCTATAATTATATGTTAGTCTGTTATATTCTTATCGGTTCGCATCGCAATGTCTCTCCGAATATAGCAGTGCTATAATGCTCTGATGTTAATTATGCAATAAGCTGTAAGTGAGTACATTTATATGCGTCACGCAACAATAATTGCCATATTGATTTTGGGAACATTTCTAATTTTCTGCGTGCCTCATCCAGATTATTAACGATCCGAGTGCTGCTAGGAATGGCAACTACGTAAATTATGAGGAATATGCATGTATTTTATTTTTTATTCATTGTATATATGTATCTTTAAAACATAGTAAAAATTATAAATACTGTTGGAAATGTTTAAAATGAATTAAACAAGCCCCAACCATTGCGGATTTATTATACGCAATCCACGAGTTCCTGTGGCCACCTTCCATCTTCATCATAAAACGACTTCGATGTTTTTAATATTGAAAATGGAATGGTAACTCTGCCTGCGCTATCGGTATACGCTGACACCTGTGATAAATGATAGTTGAGGATAAAGGCAGGCCCATCGTGAAGAATTTGACAAGAATTAACCACGATGATTTCCAGGGGGAATCGCGTGGAGGTCGACTTGTTAGAATATATTATCAGCAATGGGGCTATTAGAACCCACTACTAATAAACACTTTAGTGGTAGGTACCATATTAATGGGGAGGAAAAGTATTGATTGTAATGGAGATTAGCAACCCCAATGCTAGCAATATACTCTATTAGGACGACCTCCACGCGGCACATCCTGAAACCTACCGCGGTTAATTCTTGACAAAATTTGTCACGATGGGCTAACTGACCTGCTTTCATCTTCACCCATCGTCTTCCCACTGATGCAACGATAAAGTATACCGATAGCCAGGATTACCACTCCATTTTCACCCATTAAAAATACCATAATATTACATTGTCATTGAACTTACATACCTAAGTATGTTTTTTTTATACAATTTAGAATGGCAAACAAGCTGACGGCCCACATGATAAAAAGTGGTAACCGTCGCCTATAGACATGAACAGTACCATAAACATAACAGAGTATACTGTTTCGTCCACGATACCCCCCATGCGTTGCCATTCCTGAGGACTCAGGTGTTATTCCTCTGTACCCAGTAAATTCACGCCATATCCCACCCTTCAAACCGAAACACAGCCATGCAAACCCAACTGCTTCACGGTTGAAACACGAATGGGACAGAGGTACCCAAGCAATCGACTTTTGTACAAAGTCTCCCTCTGGTATCTGTACAAGTAAAAATAACAATCGAACGTCAGCAAAAACAATAATAAAAAAGAGATGGCAAATTTTAAACTGACCCATACTAAAGTAAATAAAAGCTTGTAAAAATAACAAACTAATATTTCGCAAGTAGGTGACATGGACAGCAAGCAGTGCGGGGTACGACTACGCGTCGGCGTGCGCGCGGCCGTACCGCGCGAGTCGTGCGCGTGCGCCGGCCGCTCCTTGTGACCTCAGCAAGCAGAGCTTCTGCACCACGCCCGGCACCAACTACCCTTGGCACGCGATCAGGAGATTTGTTAGAGAGAACCAGGTCAGTAAATAACAGGGACGTTCTTAGGGTTTATCTGATTTTATCAACGCAAAACTATTTCAAATTCAAATAAAAAAAATATACTCAAGACTTTAAAGCCTATGGGACAGTAAAGACATTTATTGATTCTCCCTGTTATAGTAAATATAACACTCGACTACATTTCGCTGAGCATATAGAAACAAACAATAGAAAGTAATATAAAATTTTAAGAAGTTTTTTGTTCGTAAAGCGAATTGCAGTTGTAATCTTTCGCTACTATACTCGTCGTATAATTCCTTAACTTTGAGTACACTTAACGTGAAATTTATTTTTATTTCATTGCCATTTTCAGGGTCTCATGAGGAGAATGTACGGAGAAGAACGTCACATATCAGTGTTGAAAGCAGAGTTGGAAAATTTCATAGAAATTGACGGAGAAGACGATATGAAAAAACCCACAAATTTCGCGGAGGATATTATTAAAACGAAAATGATGTATACAAAGATAGGCACCGGTCGTGCCATGAAAGATAAGCCTCACTTCAGGCCAATTCAATCCAACGATAAAAACAAAAGAGTTGAAAATGAAACACTAAAAGTAAAACCTTTAAATAATAATATAAAAGTTAATAAAACTCACAGCGGTAATAAAACAGAAACAACCAGTAATACGACTGATAATGCAGAAAATGGAATTTCCTATAAGACTAAACTAGAAAGCATAGCCAATATAGAGATAAATAATTTAGATCCAGATATTATTACACTTGAGGCTGTTATAAAACAAAGCATAGAAACTAATGGCATATTTAGTAAACCATCTGGTGATTCTAAAAGAGAACCTATTAAAATTGATGAAAAAAATAAAACTTCGTCGAATAAAAACACCACTACAGAAAATATATTAAACACAACTGAGAGTTTGACTGAAGACTATGATGACGAAGCAACCACAGAAACTGATAAAGATGGCTTTAAATCTATGGATGCAGATACGTCGACTTTACCTCCAACACTTCTTTTTTCCGAACACGAAAAGATTAACACGAAAGCTGATAAAACTGATACAAAAATTAATGACAAAAAAGAAGAGTTTCATCTTAAACCGCTTCAGCATGCAGAAAATTTGCGGCCAGCTTTTATAAAATTACGAGGAGCGTAAGTTTTCAAATACTTGTTCTATTTTTATTTATCTATTATCAGCCGACTTCAAAGAAGGAAGTTCTCAATTCGGTTGCATTTTTTCAATGTCTGTTACCTCATAACTCCAGCAGTTGTAAATTGGAAAATTATTTTATATCTGAAAGGATATACTTACAGATTGGTCCCATAGAAATTTTATCAAAATCGGTTCAGTAGTTTAGTTTTTTAATCAAAATAACTGGTTTTGTCACAATTGAAGTTGTTTTTTTTTCTTGTGAAACACAATCTTAATTATTTTCTCTTCTATTAGACAGATTAGGTTTGACATCAGATATTAGATTTTATTGGACTCAAATTGAAACACGGCTTTGTAACTTTGCTGTTTTATGGCAGCATAAAAAAAAAGTCAAAGCTTTCTATCCAGGAGAGCTAGATAAAACGATATCATCAGTGAAGATACTAATTATTGAAAAAGAGTATAACTCCAAACAAGAGTTTGAACTCTATAACTCTCTCTGTCCTCTTATTTAATACATAAAAAGTCATATAAGATAATCTACAAGTAAACAATTTGGTACTTTTTCAGAAACGCTTGTGAAACAAAAGAAGAGATGCAAGCTCCATTCTGGGCCAACAACACTAGGGGCGAGGTGTTGGCGCTGCTTAACATGTACCCCTTCGAGCAGTATATACACCTGGAAACATGCGTCCAAGAAAAGAAGCAAATGTACTGTCGAGAAGGATGCTTGTATGTATGCATTTATATACTTGATACATTTACTATTTACAGCACTTGGAAAGGAAATGTTAATTATGATTGTCAATTAATTGTAAGTCGTCAACTCATCTAGCAGACTGGCTGGAGACAATTATTGTGGGGTGTAACAATATATGCATAGAAGCGGCAACCTCAAATGTGTTGCAGGAAGTCGATGGATAAAGAATCAGAACAACGACATCTCTAGACATCTCTAGAGGACTATTATGAAAGAACGTGTCTTTTTTCCATACAAATTGGAATAAATAACTAATTAATGTCAGACCCAATAGGCATGAACAGTAACATGGATATTTTAATATAATAACTACCAGTTTAACTTACGTGTAATAGAATTACGTAATTTGAACGGCTGGGCTCCGTAGTCTTCCTCATCCTCTGCCGTGTTATACTTCATACCCGAAGAGTTCCGAACACCGTCTTTCTTATCTGTGACGATGCCGCAAGCACCTACAGCTCGCGCTCAACGGGCCAAAGCACATAGTCAGGATCATGCTCGCGTCACACTCACTTATGACTATGGATCATAAAATTATTCCGAAACTAGTTGAGCTTTTTCGATACAATTATACATAAGATTAATACATGGATTGTATAGAATACACTGTAATCGAAGTAAATCCTCATACGTTACTACTTTCGAAAACAAAAGTGACTCAATAATTTAATTACTATATATGTACATACATTCTTCAAACCGAAATGTACCCATGCAAACATAGCTGCTAAACGGATGACAGAAATGTGGGCTTTCCATTTTATGATAGATTATGAGGAAAATCTATATTCAACAGGGCAATAAATAGTTAAAATAATGATTTAATATTCCAGATGCGAGCAGCAATACCGGTTACACCGACTCTTAGCATACGACCCTCACAACGAGTGCCGCGGTATCTTCGCTGACTGGTTTAAGTTCCCGGCGTGTTGTGTGTGCAAGTGCTATGACGTGCCGGTCGAGTTTCGTGCCAGATCGCCCAGGATACACCACCCTCGGTACGACGAGGATGTCAAAAGAGTCATATATGAGGACGCAGCGAGGGATTGGTACGCGATGTCAGCTTTCGGAGATGAAGAGGATGATTTGTTCTAAAGGTGTGGCAGAATTTTCTATCCCCTTGATAAACTCCTATTTAACTAAAGTTCTTCATTTTTTTTAAATGGGGGTTCTCAATTATTCTAAATTTTTGTGCGATCATATTGCACGATTAAATCGCTAATTCTGAATCGATTTTCATTATTTTTTTGCAATCGGCAAGATTGACGATTTAAGCTGCCATTTTTCTTAATAGAGCAAAACACTGCTTGTTGCAAAACTAAGAAACAAGTCATTGTAGAAAACATTATACATTTAACGCTACATTTACGATTTGAGTCATTTCAAGTAAATGTAGCTGGAAATTCATCACTGAGGGCTGATAGGTGAAAGCTTGTCAGTAAATCCATCGTGACGAATTCGTTAAGAATTAACTATGATGGTTTCCAGGGCAAGTACAGTGGAGGTCAACCTGATAGAGTATATTGCTAACAATGGGTCTGTTAGACCTCGTTACTAGCCCTTTCTCCCGGTAGAAACACGAGTAGGACAGAGATACCCAAGTGGGGGACTTCTGTACAAAATCTTTCTCTAGGATTATGCTCGTATTAAACTTTCTAGAATAATATCACGAATGAAAGCAATGTTTACAATTATTTTCTTCTTTTACAGATTCTCTTGTCCTCTGATACTAACAGAAGATGTAGTTAACTTAACCCACCTGGATTAATTTAGGTTTGAATTAGAAGTTAACACGCAACTCAAAGTTAAGCTCAAATTAATGTCTTTGAGTAATATTAGTAAATTTAATTGTACTTAATTTGTATATTATATTTATCCTTGTATATATGAAATCATAGCAGCTCAATATAGATTACTCTTTAAAATATAACAAAAAACTATATTACAAATCTGCCTTTGTAGATAGGATCACAGAGCAACTAGTTATTACGTGATTGGATGACGAAGGCTTTAGTGACATCATATATAGCAAAGAGAATTTATTTGCAACTCTTTTTTTTTTTTCTAGTTATTTTATATTTCTTTTTTTGTCAACAAGGGACATAAAGTTTATCTTTATAGTTTAAAGAAAATTAAAATGCCTAATAACATTTTGCAATTACAAGAAAACAATTAAAAAATTATATATTTATAAATAGATATGATTTTCAAATAACAAATTTTCCCTTTATTTTTAACTAACTGTATAATTGCGGTGCATGGTCGTATCGTGAAGTTTAATATTTAAAACCTTTCTCAAAAAAAAAAAGAAAAGCTGTCAACTGCAAAAAGCATTTTTCAAATGCGACTGATATTTCCAGAGAGTAACTTGTTTGAACAAACAGTTAATTCCAATTTATAATATCAAATATAGACAAGAAATTCTGCCATCAGGTGCAAAACTTATATGAATTTCCCTTATTACTAAAGAAATTTTAAATGAGTAGGCACCTATAGTGATAAATTTATTATACTTATTTTTCTTTTCACGAATTTTACAAATATCTTGATAAAAACGCTGCTGTAACTACATTATATCAGTTATAACACAATTTTATTTTAATAACTTTGCTAGATATTAAATGAAAAAAAAAAAAAACAATATGTCTGTCATATTTTTGTGTAATATCCTACCTATCATATACAATGTATTTTGTATTCTAGGGATAAATAAATAAATAATAGTTATTTATTAATTATGATTTTTCATTTTATAGTTATCGCTTTTTTTTTAATTTAAGGCTAGTGAAATATTGTAAATAAATGTAAATTATCATGTTGATTTTTATATAATTATTATTTTAATAAAGTTTATCGTTGTAATATCTACAATTTTTTTATTTATTCTCGTCTTCATTTTTCAATTTTAAGGTACTTACAACCTACTTAACTGCTAGGTCTGTCCATTAAAAAGACGCAGAAGTATGTTCTTGGGAGGTCAATTCTTTTGTCAAAACCTTTAAATGTTTTAAAATTTGTATATGACCTAAATGCACCAAACGAAATATATAAGAGGGGTATTTTTATGACATGAAATTGATATGGTAACTCCGCCTACATTATGGATTGGCTAGGTACGATGAGATATGATAGATGAAGAGAAATCACGTTGACTTATCGTGACTAATTAACTGAAGTGATTTACGGAAAACATTACCACAACTTACAAAAACTGCGTAAAAGTCAACCTGATAGTCTCCTTTTGGTCCATTTTAAAATCAAAATAAAAAATTTGCAATATTTCATCAGATCTCACTAAAAAGAGACATTATTGAATAATTTAAAATAAAAAAATAAGGTATTAAATTAAGTAGTATCAAATATGATAATAAAACACTATATAACGCCATAAATTAAATAGTGAGATGATGGGTTAACAATACACGTAGCTTGAGTATCACAGGTACTATCCTTTAATTTATAGCTTGAATTAAATACAAATCCTTAACTTAGTAAGACTATATCGAAAGATACGAATCTATTACGTCTAATGTCGCTAGTAAGTAACAATAAACAAAAAAGCTAGAATGTCTGTCTCTGTTCTGCAAATAGTAATAAATTTGTATTTGAACTACCGTCGTCCAGTTGCATGATAGTTTAAATGGACCTTAAACTGTTGACATTTTAGATACCATGAGACAAAGATGTCATGATGTGATCTCAACGAACACAGACAAAGAAATCTTATATCTAGCATCATCGATAAAAATGCAGTGTTTCTTCCAACTTTAACATTGGCAAATTCATCGATACCCCGATGGAACTATAATAAAAAAAAACCTTCCTGCTGTCAATTTGACGTCAGTGTCATTTGTCATTGTCAAATTTTAACTTGGCTTGTGTATCAACAACGACGCTTCGTCGTCCGACTATTTTCCGTTATCATTTTAGTTTCCATTACTATTTTTATTAATTTTTTAAAACGAAATAGAGAATTTTATTAAAATTGACAGGCAATCTTGTTCTTATATTGTTAAAACTCATAAACATAACCTAAAACAAAATGAGCGGTAGAGTTAAGAAACCTGCAGCACCAAAGAAAAAAGCCAATGGGTATAAGATGCCATCCCCTATCGCTACTGGTGAAGTGATCCATGATACTATAGGGAAAAAGAAATGGCGTATAGGCCCTTCAATTGGTGTCGGTGGCTTTGGGGAGATATACTCGGCTTGTGATCACGAGAGCTCGCCCAAGAAGGGGTCCAATTATCCTTTCGTTGTGAAAATTGTAAGTATAAATAAGTAAATCATTGTTGCTTATTTGTCAATATGAAATTCTTATAGTTACTATCATCTTATTACAGTTATTTTCTTATTTAACTTCAAAATTGAAACCTTTATATATTTAATTAATTTTAATTCATTATTGTTATATTTTTGACAGGAACCACATGAAAATGGGCCATTATTTGTTGAAAAACATTTCTATTGTCGAAATGCCAATAAAGATGACAGTGAGTACATTTTAAATATTTAAATAGGTTTTTGAAACTATTTCATTTTATTATTTGTATTTGGAAATCATTTAATATACTTTGTTAAAGAATGTAATTCCCCGACAGCTTGATCTCAATATCTATAGTACAAGTTTCATGTATTATGTAGTATATTTCATTGAATATAATAAAATAGTAACCAAGTTTTCAGTTGAAATTTTTGTACAAGCAAAGTCCAAATGAAATTAGTGACAAATCAAAACATCAGGTCATTTATCTTTTTTTTTTTATTTAATTTCTTTAAATATTAGCGAACTATGGTTCCAGTCAATTATTAATTTTTTTTTACACTTTCATTGAGTTCTATTGAAACATACTGGTATTAGATGGCGCTATATAATGCCTGCAGTAATTATTGTTAGAATGTAAAGTGAATAATAAAAAAAAATTTAAGTTTAGTGTTGCATATTCTAACTTGATTCTGTTAATGTTTAGTTGCGAAATTCATGAAGACCAAGAAATTGAATAGCCTTGGTATGCCAACATATTTTGGGAATGGTTCACATGAGTACAAAGGCGAAAAGTATAGATACTTAGTACTAGAGAGATATGGGAAAGATGTGTGGAGTCTTTTCAAGGACTGCAGAAGAAGTTTCCCATCGGCCACTGTATTCCAATTGGGTTTGCAAATGGTAAAAATATTTTCTTGTAATAAATTATTTATGAACCTTTGCTCATGGAATAAAGGAAATGGTCAATATTTCTTTAAAGAATCTGTACTAATTTCTAAATGTTAAAGTGTGTTTGTTTATTTGTTACCTCTTGACATTTAAATGACTTAATTAATTATAACTTTAATATGCAGATAGTAGCGGGACTGGAGGACATAGGTAGTTATTTAACTTGGTCACACAAATTTGCCTTTAATAAGTAGTTTGTAAATAAATTATTAAATGATTAATAATTAGTATTGTAGATAGAGGATTTTGTTTTTTATTATCTAAATATAATATTAAAATAAGATAATAAGTTGACCAGAGCTAAATAAATCACAGTCTGTTATGTATTTTATTTATAATTTTTGCTGCTTTATCTAAACTTCTATACTAGTATTTTAAACGAGAAAGATTTGATTGGTTGTTGTAATGGATAAACTCAAGACTTCTCAACCAATTTAAATTAATTAATATAATAATAAATTAATTTAAAAACACTTTCACCTACAGAAAACTGCATTGTCAGTGAGTAACATAGGCTATATAACTATTTTCAAAAATTACCTTTACTCATGCAAATGTAGGCTAGATCACTAGATTATTATATTTTTGCTTGCTTGCTGCTGCAAGGAGGATAAAATTGGTGTTATTATATGACACTTCATTATTTTTTTATTATATTTCAGTTAGATGTCCTAGAATACATACACAGCCGAGGATATGTCCATGCAGATATCAAAGGTGCCAACATTCTGATGGGGCTACAGAAAGGCACAGAGAACCAAGCTTACCTCGTGGACTTTGGCTTAGCAAGTCGCGTCACTGATAAGGAGTTTAAACCAGACCCGAAATGTGCGCATAATGGAACAATTGAATACACAAGCAGAGACGCACATTTAGGAGGTGATTGTATATAATTTTCCTGTTTTCTTTTAATAAATAAAAGGCAAATTTGCTCATAATATTGTGGTATACCCTGATAGGAAACCAACAAGTGATGATAGATGGGATGAAGTCTGGACAGTTAGTCTATTATAACAATTTCATCATAAATTAATCACTATGTTTTTCAAAGGAGGCCTTATAGACACCAGAGGGAGACACTTGTATAAAAGTCGTTTGCTTGGGTACTTCTATCCCATTTGTGCTTCAACCGTAATGCAGTTGTGTTTGCATGACTGTGTTTTGGTTTAAAGGATAAGATATGGCAGTAAATTTACAGGGTACAGAGGAATAACATCTGAGTCCTCAGAAATGGCAATGCATGGGGGTATCATGGGTGAAACAGTATACTCTGTTATGTCCATGGTACTGCTCATGTCTATAGGCGACAGTTACCACTTTCCATCAGGTGGGCCGTCAGCTTGTTTGCCATTCTAAGTTGTATAAAAAAAAATCTTGACTTATGACCATACAAACTTGACAGACCTGATGATTTACCTCTATATGAAGATAGATATCATATCAACCTTTAACTGTCCACTGCTGAACATAAGCCTCCCCTTTGGGGGGCTTTTGCCAGTAGTTGCCACGCTTGGCAGGTGGATTGACAATTGCAGTTAGGCTGCAGAGATGTTTTAAGAGGGACGCTGCTATGCACCCTCGCCCTTCCTTAATCACCTCTTACTTTGGAAAGGAAGAGGTAACCTATTCTGTACTGGGACCACACAGCCTATATGAAGATAGATATAACAGGGTCAAATTCCTGTTATATCAGCCACAGACATATACAGGCTACATTTGTGTTCTATTTTTTTTATACCACTGAGGTGGCAAACAAGCATACGGCCCACCTGATGGTACGTGGTTACCGTAGCCTATGAACACCTGCAATAACAGAGGCATTACGCGTGCGTTGCCGACCCTGAAGAAACCCCTTTACCCCCCTTTTGAAGAATCCCATGCTGTAGTCTCTTGGGAAAACCTCGGCAGGGAGCTCATTCCACAACCTGAGTGTTCATGGGAGGAAACATCTCTGAAACCGCGCAGTATGCGACCATTGAGGCTGTAAGACATGAGGATTAACTCCCGATGGCCAGCCGTACGATGGTAGAAAGTGGCTGTAGGCATCATATTGAACAATTCCTCTGAGCACAATCCATTGTACAGGCAGTAGAAAACGCAGAGTGAGGCAAAATCTCTCCTAAGATTTTAGTTACGCTATTTTGCCAATTTTGCATGCTCATGAGTTTTTCTTACTTTATTATACATACATACATTGTTACTACTATCCATCAGGTAGACATTCAGCTTATTTGCACATTTTAAGTTGCATAAGAAAAACTCGTTATCATCTTAGCCAATTATTGTATTTTAGTGCCTACAATGAGAGGGGACCTAGAGATCTTAGGTTACAACATGCTGCAGTGGTTGATAGGGGAACTACCCTGGGAGAAATCTTTGAAACAACCCAAAATAGTCCAAAACATGAAGGAGGCGTTCATGAAGAATGTACGAGCGAATATCGCCAAACAATACAGTAATGTACCAGGTGGGTTTCTTTGGTGTTTTATTGTTACTAAAAGATTTTCTTCTTTTTGAGGTTAACCTTGCATGATGGTATATTAGCGAGCTTCCTGTAGGTGTAATGAAAGGCAGTCTAAGAACTCTTGACACCAGAGTGCGCCATTCTCACAAAAATAGTGGTAGTATTGGATATTACTTAAATTTTATATATGAAAAATAATTTGATTTTTTTCTTAATCTTTCAGAACCCCTAATTAAATACTTAGAATACATAAACACATTGAAACCCAAAGACACACCAGATTACACAAAGTGCCGGCAACTGTTCGAAAATTATCTCAAAAGTGAGGGTAAAACGAGAAATAGCAAATTGGAGTTCAGTCCTGGTAAAAAAGGGAAACAGAGTAAAACTGCTAAAATCGTGGCTGAAGACAGTGATGTTGATGAAGTGGAGGAGAAAGAAGCAAAAGGAAAAGGCAAGAAACCTAATGGAGTAATTGCTAAAGCTAAGAGAGCTCGGAAACCAAAGGTCATAGAGTCCAGTCCTGAATCAGATAATTGTGAAAATGAAGAACCAGAATCAGAAGATGGCACAGAAAAAGAAGTTAAAAAGAAGGTAAGGAAGCCGAAAAATAATAAGAGGAAATCAACTGAACCATCTGTTGTAGTTAAAGTTAAGAAAACCAAATTAGCACCAAAAGCGACACCGCCAGCCAAGAAAAACCACGCGAATATAGCAACGCAGACGTCAATCATCATCGAAAAGCGTAAGAGAAGCCCTCGACAGGTCTCATTTGATAGTCCTGTATGTGAAATAATCGGAAATAAAAAGCAGAACATTTCCAAAGAAAGTGATTCCATTAATACGAGCGGAGACATCTTTGATGATTCATTTACGATTGAAGAGAAAAAAGTTAAAAAGAAACGAAAACTGCTGTCGAATCAGGAAATTATCGTAAAGAGGGTAGTTAAGAAAAAAGTGACAACAACACAACCAAAATCAAAGTCTTGGAAGGACACTCCCACTATTATGAATGGACGGTCGCCCCCTAAATAGTACTGTAGAACGTCACTTTGTACGGTTGTGATGTTTTATTGAATTCCCTGTCAATTTGTACTTATATTGTGCCAATATTATACCGCTGATTTATTATGAACAGCTATAATATTCATAATTTAATCAAGTTTAAACATTTGAATGATTTAGTTGTAAAATATTTGATTGATATTATTTATAATTTTTAATTTTAAATAAAGTACTTTTTTGTATTAGCGATTTTGCTAGTTGAACAGTTCAAAATTGCATGGAATTGAAAAATTAATTATTCCTCACTTGTTACAGCTATACTTGATATGTTTGTATATTTTAAATTCCACGTTAGTAAACTATGTTAATAATTATAGTCACAAAAAACTCAAAGCTTCTAAATGTCATTCTTGTTTCATAAGAGCAACAGTAGCAACGGACGACGACGTAAAACAGCGCGCGATGATATCTCATTGACAGTTAGTCATAATGATTCATTTGGATTGTTGGAACTAGCGAATCCGCTAACAGATATTAGATGAGAACTTAGATGCATATCACAGTTGGATCAATGAGTCGTGTCGTCGTCGACCGACCGACCTTCCCCTTGGAAACCATCGTGATTAATTCTTGTTGAATTCATCACGATGGGCTAACTGATCTTCTTGCTCACCTATCATCCCTCACCCCGCCAGTGTATACCGATAGTGCAAAGTATTTAGAATCTTGTCTATTAAAACTATAGTTATATATATATATATATATATATATATATATATATATATATAACTTAGAATGGCAAACAAGTTGACGGCCCACCTGATGGAAAGTGGTAACCGTCGCCTATAGACATGAGCAGTACCATGGACATAATAGAGTATACTGTTTCGCCCACAATACCCCCCATGCGTTGCCATTCCTGAGGACTCAGGTGTTATTCCTCTGTACCCAGTAAATTCACGCCATATCCCACCCTTCAAACCAAAACACAGCTATGCAAACACAACTGCATTACATTCTAGAATAAAGTATTTACAAACCATTATTTTAAAATTGATTATAAATCTCCATTTACATACATTTCCAAATAATGTCGTTGTTCATGAAATCTATAAAATATGACAAGAGATCACGTATCATATTTTAATCCCCTTTATTTAAGAGACTCGTGTATGTTTTTTTTTCGTTTATTTATTTTTAAAAGTGACTTATGTGTAATATAATTTCATTATAATAATTACAATATACATTTATTATTATCTAATAATATAAGCCGAACCAGTAAAATAATCTAAAATGGCGGATTTTCGGACCAACCTTACTGGTTGACAGAAAAACATATATTGTTTAAGATATAATAATTATCTTGGCTTATTAATTTTACTATTTTTTATATTATTTTAATATAAAATATCCAAACAAATGAATAAATAAGCATAAATATTCGAAAACTTAACTAACCCGACAGACGTCGTACTCTCGAGTCTTCGTTTCAAGTTTGTATTGGAAAAGTAAAATAAAATTTTTGACTTCATAAGAACTTTTCTCGGACTGTAACAAATATTCGATAAAAAAATTACCAAATTGGTCCTGCCGTTTTCGAATTTTGCGCTTAGCAACATATTCAGCGATTTATTTTTATAATAAAATATTGGAATTTGATAGCTTTAGAATATTTTCTGATAATTCGTCTCGAGAGTTTCAGTACACTATATATACATGAGTGAAGATGCACAATATAATAAGTAGAGGACACGACTGACGCTGCCATTTTAGATTACTTTAATTTTTGGCGGGAATTGTATCAAATTTAATGTCACCATAATTACATTGTGAAATAATTTTAGATGGAGATTATAAACACTCGACCGCTCAATAAGGTCTTGTTAATGTATTATAATTACGTTACATACGTTGTTATTCATTAATTACGAATAAATGTTGAGGTTATGCTGTAGCCATCTTGACAGCTTCTTGTTGCATTTTGTTTGTCATGCTGATGTTGAGTGTTCAATTGAGTGATCATTTTATATTTTTAATGTGTATAATAAACAGTATTTCGTATGGCTTGTTTCATTATTAATAACATTTATTTTCATTACCTTTAACTAGAAATTTCTTTTTTATGATAATGAAATGGTAACCCCACCTGCACTATCGGTGGCGGTCTAGAAACTTTTTGGTATTAAAGTTGAAGAGTTTCAATCAATAAAATCAGATTTTTCTCTTTGTGAATAAATATAAGACCACAAAGTGGCAATCAGGATTTATACATGGAAAAACAACAGACATCACAAGAGTATGCAGTAGCGTCCTTAGCATACTAAACACCCTCACATGGGGTGGAAAGGGATTATTAGTACTGAGGATCTAGCAATCCCATTATTTAAAAAAAGCACCCTCATATGGATTATCATAATATATGCAGGATTAAATTGAAATCATTAGCACCTCATTTTCTCGATTCAAGATTTTTATCATTTCTTTGGGAGAATATGCTCAATTGTACTGAGAACACTTGGAATGGAAAGGCTGCTAATGATTTCAATACTTACAAATCTAATAGTAGGTGACAGTCGAAATAATCAAACAAATGCGCAAATCCAAAGCTTTTATTTTTATTTACAATATAATCGTAATATGAAAGTAAACAAAATGTAACGTACTAAAAAAATTAGATTTAGAAATGTAATAATGAAACGCCGGCCAGTACGGGCGAATCATTGCGAGAATACGAGCGTACATTGTGATATTACAATTTCAAAGGGGCGCCAACGCGTTGCCCGTTGGCGGCCGCATACGTTTGCAAGTTACAAAAGCTAAACTACGCCTAAACGTACGTCTGTGGAGTGATGCACTAGAGCTAGACGACCGTGCGTGTAGCGAGCCGCGTTCACAACGCGCGCGCTTACTCCGTTTTATCTACAGTGGCAGTACAACAGCGACCAAGCTATCATTGACTAAAACAAAAACAGTAGCACCATTTGTAAAAAAATATAATTTTTCTCCAAACACAACAGAAACCGTCGGCGGTACTCCCGTCTCCAGCGCAGAGTTTGATCGGCCCTAGCGGACGGCGGCGCGGGCCGCGCGTCGTCGCACGCGTTCGCACGCGTTCACACGCGTCCGCACGCGGCCGCGCCGTGCGCCCTCGCAGCATAACGTGTCGAGTTCAACCGTACACACTAAACATACCTATACTATTGTATAAACTGTTCTAGGTATTACATAATTTACTTACTATTTATTTATCTTATAAAACCACTATTTACGCCGTTACAGGAACATTTTTATGCAAAAATCTGTTTTAACTTGCAATGGGACTAGTATAGATTTTATAAAACCTCCATCCGCCATGGTGGCCGCCACGTGTGGAGTTCAGTAATTTGTATAATTAACATTTATATAAGGCCGCATTCACACTAGCTTTCGATGTCGCAAATACAAGTCTAACCAATGTAAATGAAGCCAACACTCCTTTTAGAATATGCTATAACAATTTTTTATAATATCTCATTTTTAACCTGTTTTGTGACCTTGCAATGTGTACCGACATTTTGTATGTTTCCTATAAAATTATAGATAAGTATAATTATAATTTATTTAACAATTGACTGTAGGTATATGTGGCATATTTTAAAAGGAGATTCTATTCGTACTATAACCATTAGACTACTCTCTTAGGGGCGAATTCATTAATTATATCACATCGAGCTTCTCCAATAACAATCCCTCCTCTACACAGTGGTACGTGTGTGCGTGTATGAGCCACACAAACGGTCACGGTCACGTGCACACATGTATCACTCGTTCACTTTACAAACAGCTAATGTACAATATATTACAAACTCTCAACGTCATTTCAGTCAAATCATACTTTATTTGAGACTGATGCGACGTCACCAATCCTCTGACATTCGACTATGACGTAATTAACGGATGACCCCTTATTCTTCCCCCCCACTACACTTAATCTAGTGTTTAAACTCAACACGTCTTACGCTAACTGGAATAAAAGTAAGTGTATATTATATATATAATAATTATAATATTATCTATGTCTAACATGGTACTACATAATTGCGAGGTGGCACTAGCTATTTGCGTAACGGCTTCCCTAGTACGGCTACCAGGTCGTCGTAATGTGCGATACGGTCTAGCTTTTTTTATAATAAAAACTTTTAAAACCTTTAAAAAAAAACATATTAAATAGTAGCAGTATTAATTTATCCACAATAAAAAAAGACAAAGGAAAAAAGCCATACAACTTAATCTTCAGAAAAAAAAATTAAATATTTGTCTACAACTATAGACTATATATTTTTATATTAAAATAAATATTATAATTATTGTTTTTTTTTAATATTATATTTACTATAAAAAACGAGTAAATATTTTGTCACGACAATAAACAGATTAAATAAAATAAAAATAAAATATGAAAATGTTGGTCAAAATGTATAAGACTTTAAACTTAACCACATAACCACAGAATTATATAAAAATTGATTGAATATCGTTATAAGCTGTAGAACTACTTATTTGTCCATTCACAAAACCAGTATTAAAACTCTTTGTTTACATATGTCAATTCATAAAAACCTACATATACATATATATACATATACATAATGCAGAATGTCACAATTGATGAAATATTTCTGTGTTAATATTTTAAAACCTCATTTGTGTCCTAAGGAGGTATTACAATTCTATTGCTTTAAACGTAGCAATAAGCTATCATACCATTAAATATTAATTTGTTTTGTGAGTGCCTAACTCCTCATAACAGGCTATACTAGATTGAAGACCAGGCGATCGCTTTATGTGACAATTAATATTTATTTATTTATTTAATAAAAACATTTCAAAACAGTTATTGATTCTATATGAAAATACTTCGGCATTATTGGAGCTAGTCTGAGCTAATATTTCGTATTAATAAATTTTGAAAAACAAATTAGGTACCTAACAATTAGATAAATAACAAGGAGTTACCATAAGTATTTTCTAGTCTACATCTTAAAGTCACTTTAATCGAAACATAATGGTTATAGCCTAATAAGTGATTGAATTCAATTGAATAACACTAATCAAGGTGTAATGCAAAATTATCGTATCTATTTTATAGTATTTTATATTTTCTTCCTGCAGCTATATATATATATATATATAATACGGATTAGGACGGATACTGGCAAAGATTACATATATAGATCCGTCAGTATTCTACGATTTTTACTGTATATATATATATATATATATATATATATATATATATATATATATATATAATATACAATAAAAAGGACACATATAAAATACATACAACATAAATAATACTTTGCCATATATATGTACAAACAACGAATGCTGACAACCAATTGTTTCTAATTCAGAATACCGTCAGTACGCACATTACGACGCCTAGACACGGTTGAACTACAGAAAATACAGGCTTGGCCCGAGAGTATATCATCTAACACAAGACAATAACACACAATAGTCAATTACAATTGCTGATGGATTGTACTACGCTACGATACGATACGATACGATACGATACAATACCTTCAGAATACACACTTGAACATTAAACAAAAATTCCGTACATAGCTTTGGAAAACTCGCGTCTTGGGACTTTGTAGTACTTCCGCATGCTACGTCACATTGTCGGATCGCTTTTTCGTTCGCTCTAAAACTGTACTAATTCTGAAGCTCAACTAACAATTGTATGACAAAAATCATCTTTCAACACGACTTTTAGCCTCGTAACGTGTCTTACAGTCGTGTGACACGACTTCTAATCGTATAACGTGACTTTTAGTCGTTACGTAGTCGCGCTTCGGAAGCAGCACTTACACAATATACACACTTACGAATTCTTTACAACAAACCATTGTGCTGATACTTTCTGCCCTTACATTATATAGATAGAGCATCGAGCCTCAAAAAACGGGTCAACTTTTTGTCAGCCAGTTGTCAAATTAGCTGACTCTTGAGAAGGGATTGTTAGTAATGGAGACTGAGAATCCCATTGCTATCAATATACCCAAACCAGGTCGACCTCCTCGCGAAACCATCATGGTTAATTCCTGATGGATTCATCATGATGGGCTAACTGGCCTGTTTTCATTCTCATCTGTCACCCTTCACTGGTGCTCCGCCAGTGTATCCCGTTAGCGCAGGCGGGGTTACGACAGCAATTTCGTCCACCAAAAAAAAAAAATTAGCTGACTAATTTTTTTTATCAGTGTTCTATACATTTACGCATACAATATATTTCGACGTATTATTTAAAAAACAAAACGAGTGTTTACGCATTAAAAAGATGCAGAAATTGTAAGACAAAATAAATATAGACGTTACAAAGACATCACTAATAACTATTCATCACGCAAAATTGTATAAAAAAAAAAAAGTCGATCCGTTTTTCTCGATGCATTTGTATGGAGACACTCTATTTATATAATCTAAGTTTGTGATCATACATTTTATTAAAGCTTATATAGTTACATATGATATAGTTGTTGCCCATGGCGGGGGATGAAAGCCTATACAAGCGACGCGTCGGCCGGTTCGTTCTACAAATAGACTTTCACACCCGTTTGGGCTTGCGCGGGAATTCACAATAAATATTTTTTTTTTTTTAATATAAATTTGGTGTTGACTCAGTCAGGCATTATGTGTACAGGTCCCTTTCATTCTTATTTTTATATTATACTTTAACGGGGGCGGCAAAAAGCATAATTTAACTATGAAACTAAGCTATTAATGTTTTTAGGATGTATTTGAACACACACGAGACTAGTCAATTCGCTCCAGTGTCGCGGAATGTAGCGTCTATTTTCATTAATCTCTCTACATACGGGTGCGTCGAATAATATATTTAAAAATATTTGGCGCACATATAACAGATTAATTGCACTTATGTAAATAATAATATGTATTCCTCGGTACTATGTATATTAGTTATTACACAACGATTATCTATAGCTATTCTTTTTTTTCTTTCTAATTTACCACAAAATGAAGTCAATTCTACATGATCCGTACAACGAATA